TTTTTTCTTGCTGTCTCTCTCTTTCTCAGACCACAAGGGCCGCAAGCTTGGTCTCCCATCACCACTTTCTCAGTGTGGCATTTCCTTCTGCACATTGGTCTCGCATGTTGTTTATCTCTCGGAAGGATTGTAACTATAGATAGCATCAGTGGAACTGTATCTGTCTAGGAGCAGATGTCTACCTCTGCCATATCATCTTAATTGCCCTGCTGTGGCTCACCTACAAGAAGTCTTTTTTCTGTCTTACTTTTTTTTTTTTTTTTTTTTTTTTCAATTTTGCAAATGATTAGTTGAAAAACAGCAGGACTAAGCTTGTAGGCATAGGACTCACACAGGGATATTTAAACTTGTAAGGAAAAAGAATCTTTTCAGTATATAACCAACTGGACAGTACTTTCTAAGGTCTTTTCATTTTGGTCTCATATGTTTATTTTGTAGTGCATTGAGTAAACACCACTGAAAGAGAAACTAAAGATGTGGGAAATTATTATAAAAATATCTGTCAAAAACAAGTTACTAAAGTTTGGAGCATAAGCAAGTCATGTAAGTAACAATACTAATGGAGACACACTCTCACTTGTTTCTAGGGCTTTCATAATTTTGAGTTCTTTTTTTTTTTTTTTTTTTTTAAAAAAAAAGACATTAATTTGGTCATCTTAAATATAAGTGGACAATATTCTACCTCTCAATCATTCTTGATTTACATTTGTCAACAGCAAAATCTGGATTTGCAATGATTTGACATAAAAAATTATTAAATGAATAAAATGAATAAAAATGAAAGCTGGAAAATGATTTATCTATATTCCGTTATAATTACTTTTGCAGAGACCTGAAGAAGGTGTATCAAAAAGCTACACTTGAATTATTTTACTGTTCTCCACATGACGAAGGTAGGTTTGAAAGGTATCCAGCCTTCAGTCAGCTTAGAATAAAAATAAAATAAATTGCAATAAAATCTGAATCAGATTTCACCTTTTTGTTGTTGTTTTTATTTATGTTGTATTATGATTATGTTGGCTTATGATTAATCTAAATTATATTCATCCAAAAATGTGTGGCCCTTTTGGTGAAGTAATGTAGGCACAGTACTTTTAACAAGTGTATATATATACCAATATACAGAGATTTACTGTCATTGTATAATATAAAATTAACCAGACTGTACCATGAGTTGATGTCAGTATATAAAATACTACAATAACTTTCAATTACAGATGGTACAGATCAGTAAATGAATAGGACTTTGATATATTGAGCTACAAAAACTTTTATTTCCAGTACTTATATACATATAAACATAAAACCATAAGTTTCAACTCCTCATCCCTTATACTACTTTAATAAGAAGTATCTTTCAATGCAGGATGGGCATATCCAGTGCCTGGTGTCAGGAATGACTCCTGTCACATGACAGCTACCATTAGAGTAGTTTACAGAAATTTTGGCAAAGTTAATCTTTGTTCTCATCCTCCTCTTTCCCTGTTCTTTCCCTCTTCTTATGGTTATGTTTTGCTTAATTTAAGGTTTTAAATTGTCTCCAGATTGCTGAAGCTGAGAAAAGTAGATCTCTCTACCTTATTTCAGTGGCACTGCATTAGCAACAAAAAAGTTACTGTAAGTTTCAAAATAATTTCAGTTCAGAGCAGACTCCCCATTTGGTTTTCTTTAGTTTTACTTCGGCTTTTTAAATACAGATTAAATTTAGTCCAAGATTTCCCTTTCAAAGACAGTGTCTTTTTACTCATCACAATTATTTCCAGTGTCAGCATAATTTTATTTTATTTATTTATTTTGACAACTTCAATATCAACAACAAACTAATACAGATTTGGGAGGTGAACTTCCATCTTCCTTGGTAACACATCAGATCTGTTAACTAAAATTAACTTGAAAATATTTACTATACATCTTGTTGAACCCCCCACTCTCCCCTACACATACATTAAAAAAAAAAAAAAAAAATCAGGAAAGAAAGTGAGACTTATAAATCTTTTTGCCTTTGTAACCATTCCACTTTCTTCATTTGATTTGAAGAATTCTTAGTGGTAAAACAGCACAAAAGCATTTTTAAGCAAGGCAGTGTTGCATTCAAGTTAATTTTTTTGTATAAATATAAATGGTTGATCTTTAGCATCTAAAAATCAAAACACAAATTAAACAAACTGCTCTAAGACTAAGATCCAGGAACTGTAGTTTGAAATACAAGTAAAATTACAAATTTAAGAATGTGTCTCAGACAGATGTCTTCCAGAAGTTCCCTGATCCAGAAGATAAGTGTGGCTCTTTATCTGCCTGTCTCTTTAGCTTCAACGATCTCTAGACACCTAAGACAACTTGATTTCAAGTTAGTGTCCCTATTTCTGTAACAAGGTCCCTTTCATCTGACCCTACAGCAATGCCAGGCATTAAAAATACAAAAGGAATTTTTGTATATTCCTTGCAATCTAAGTTTCCATCAACTTTTAGGGAAAAGATATTTGTTTGGATTGGAGTTCTTGAAGTTCTGGACAGACTAAAAATAGTTCCATTTGACTGAAGTGAGCAATAACAATTAGAAACAATTGTTGCTATGTGATATTTAAAGTATGGTGATCTAGTGATGAATCCTCCTATTACTTTGAGAGATATTAGTCTGAGAGTCCTTCCCCAGCTATACCATTAATCTGTGTTTGTTTTTTTTTGTTTGGTTGGTTGGTTTGTTGTGTTGTTGTTTGTTTGGTTGGTTGGTTTGTTTTGTTTTTGTTTGTTGTTGTTGTTGTTGGACAGCTGAACTGACTGGACTTTCAAAGAGAGTTCCTACTATCCTTTGGAAAAGGGTGTTGTTTGTTTGTTTGTTTGTTTGTTTGTTTTCTCTCTCTCTTTTCTCTGTTTATTTTCCTATCTTTGCTGAATAGATTTGAAGTTTTTGAAAGACTGACACTTGCTTTTAAATGTAGGTAGAGGTAGTCAGTACAGTATCTCAGAATTTCTAACTATTCTATAAAACCAATGATAAGAATAGTAAATATCTGAATGATGAATTGATGTGAAGAGGAATTTGGAGCTAATCTTAAACCTCAAATGTATCCAAACTGTTTAGATGGCAGTAGTCCAGACATTCAGAGTCATATCTGAATTTCTTTCAAGTATGCAATGTTTGGGTAGTTCAAGCCCAAAGGACTTAATTATCTTCATGACTAAACTTGTAATATCTCCACGGAATTGGAAATTCCTCCCTATTTATGCAGGCAAAATAGGGCTACATGTAAGAACAATGTGAGTCAGGTATTAAGTGTTCACTGTCATACAGCATGACTTGGAGCAAGTGAGCTATAGAAGTAGCAGCATTCAGAGAAGTGCAGGGTCTGCCCAACATCCTTTTCTGGTCATTTCTGCCTCAGCAGCAATCAAAAGCAGCTCTATTTAGTCATTTACGGTTATTCTCAAGTAATGATAACATTATTGTGATTTGAATTTGACCAGAAGGTTCCTTCTTCACACTTTTCCCAATTTTTTTCTTTCTGTTTCTGGTGTGACAATGAATTTTGTCCACATACAGTGTCAACAGAGCCAATACCAGCATCCAGTACTATTATATACAATACTGTTATCTGGAAATATTGTAACCATGTGCGTATGGTTACATACGAGCTGCCCAACTCTGCATCTGATGCTCTTAATTCACTGTGACAAGATGGAAGCATTTTATTTTTAAAAAAATAATTAAAAATAATAATTAAAAAAAATCTGTGTATTTAAGAGAGGGAGGAAGAAGCTACATAGCAGAGTAATTGTGCCATGATGCATATGTACTGTAAGCTGATTCAACTGATAGGTGATTGATACCACCTATCAGTTGACACTGAAAAGAAATGGTCACTACCCTGCTGAAAAGTGTTTCTGAGGCTCTGTTCTTGTGTGTTGCCCTGCTTGGTCACCTTGGACACAGGACATTGTGGATCAAGAAATGAATCTGCTTACTCCCAGAGTTTGCCTTCCAGATCAAATCTGTTTCAGTCAGTATTAATGATTTCTGTAGATAAAGTCTGTCAATATGAAAGCAGAAGAATTTTTATTTATTTATTTTTTTGCATAACCTGCTTTCTACCTTTTGTTTCATTTACTCTTGGGTTGGCAATATAACGTTTACAACATATTCACACTTTTACCAGACCATTCCTACTACCCCTGCAGACTTTATTTACAAAGAAAAGGAACAAGAATTACATAAGTCTTTGCTTAATTATGGAACAGAAATTCAAACTATTTTCTGGTCCAGTTTTAGAGCAAGCAGAGACATAAAAGAACAGTTTTGAAGATGGCAATACCATACAGTACTAGTTATCTGCTTGTTCTGTGGGGAGGATCCATTGTGTCAAACTGCCATGAGCAACAAGTCTGTCATTAAGTGATACTTTTCATTCATTTATGGTAAAAATAATAGAAACAACATTTTCTTCTACATAAAGTTGATCTTTTTTTTTTTTTTTTTTAACAAAGTTTACAAAGGTTGTTTTTTTTTTTTTTTAAAAAAAAATAATTTACAAGACTGCCAATTTTCACAATATATTCAACTAAAAAATGTCAATATTTGAAAAAGTAAGGAAAAATTAATTATTTTTTTTTCTCTTTATTCTTTCACACTTTGCCTGTGTTGGTGTTTAAAAAATCATATATTTATCCAATATTTTAAGCTGTTCAGTGAAAAGGTTTTGGACTTTAGTGAAACAATTTAACAGTATCAAAACAAATGTATTGTTTCACTTATAAGTAAACATTTAGAAGTTCTTCCTTGTTGTTCTTTGAACGTACGGTTCTACATTTTTTTCCTAGATTGGCACTAAAGGAAAAATCAGGTTTAATTCTACCATTCCCAGTGTGAAAACTGTTTATTTCCAAGGGGACAAAAAAAAAAAAAAAAAAAAAAAAAAAAAAGTGGAGGGAAGGTGTAAGGAAAGATGATCCTAGGAGAGAAAGGAACCCACATTCGCTTATCTTGTCTTAGACACGTTACTCACCTTTGGAGTTTCACTGAAATGTTTGGTTCTGACCCTTCACTAGTAGGGCTGGTCCTTGTTTTTTTCATGGTTCCTTCTATCTGTTTGTACAAATAGCCTAATCATAATAGAGTTATAAATATTAAGAGTTGTTCAGAAAAGTTTCATCCACTGACCAAGATTTTTTGAAAAAACAACAACAACAGCAACAACAAAACATTTAGTTAAAGTAGAACCTTCTATGTGGTAGGTAACATACCAGAGAGATAATGGAGTAAAACTTTACCTGCTCACTGAATGATGAAGTCATTGGTCGACAGTATTGTACAGAAACATTTATGAATAGTTCCAGTAAGAGTATCTCAACTTAAGGAAAAAATAATAATAATAATTTACTTGGCCTGTCATTAGTGAAGCTATAACAATGTCAGTAGGGAAGAAGGTAAAGAAGCCTAACATACAAGACAGAAAAAATGATAAAATCTAATTAACGGAGTTTGTAGATTGCAAAGCCTATATGTGGTTCATTTAAACATGAATATCTAATGAAAGGCTAGGCAATCCCTTATAGCAATGACTTCTAGAAACTGTAAAAAAGATCATCCTTCAGTCCTGCTATTACTTTACCTTGATGATAGGAGGTTAGAATATGCAGTTTGAAAGATAGTACCATTTCTTTGATATATCAAAAAGCACTCTGCAGTAGACTACTACTTTCGTAGGACACTTATAGTCAAAGCTAGTATTTGACTATGCTCCTAATGTCATATTACAATGACAGAAACTGTAGGTATATCAATTTAATCTTAGTTCAAAAAAATCTTTTAGTTCTGCTGTAGCAAAGTCAAAATGGATTTTTTTTTTTTTTTCAGCTTGAGAATGGACGATGAACAACTTTTGTAGTAAAAATGAAAATGAAATGCAGAATATGGTAGATAGGACAATCATATTCAGAGTTAAAAAATATTGCACCTTCTACTTATTTGGCTTTAAAGTTTCCAAATACAAAACTATGCTAACAAGAATAGTATACAATTAAAAATTGACTCCTCTGACTACTAAAATGTATCGGCTCTGTATTTCTTTTTCATTTGTTTTATACTGTTTAAGGGTAATGGTGTCTTTTAAATTACTTCTGATTTATCTGGATGAAAATGATAACTAGACCCAATTCATAGATATTAATTTGACCAGTTTGTTATATAGAATATTAGGTATATAGTACATTTGGTACTATAGAAATTAATAATGTAGAAATGAATGAATTTTTAATCATCTTATTGATTTTTTAATTTCATCAGTCTAACCACTTTAAATAAATAAATAAGCAAACAAGTTCATTTCTAGAATTACAGCACGTAAAAAAAAGTTCTTACAATGGATAGGTGTTACCAGCTACTGGTTTCACCTGACTATAAAATGAATCCATAGAGTGAGTCATGCAGTTCAGTCATGATACCTGGCAGTTACTTCATTACTCACAAAGAGATACGGAAGTGGTGTGTACACAAACTCATCACCAAAATATTGTTTAACAGGTTTACTTGACTTTAAAAAAATTCCAGGTCTAGATATAATCTAACTGAGGATTCAATTATGTAATTTAATTGACTAGTCTTAACGATCAAAAATAAAACAAAATAAAATAAAATACCTGCTGTAGATAACATTGGTAACTCTCTCTATTTCTGTATAGCTTTTTTTTTTTTTTCTAGGCAGCATTGTAAATGCATGAAAAGACACAAAGTATGAAAACTTCTAATTGCAGAGATCAGCATATTTTTTCTGTCAGATATAGCACTTAGAGGCTTCATGTTTCTCAATTCTTACTATATTTGCTATGTTTGACTAGGAACTCTCATCCCAGGAAGAAAACTGCCTTCCATCTTTCTCCATCTCACATCTACTAGGATTCCTTTACAGTAGCAACTGTGACCAAAAAAAACCCCAAGCACCAGCTATTCATGAGTATATATAACTTCTCATTTTTCCTTCGCTGACATGGCTGCAATAATGAAATTCTGTGGAGTACTGTGGAAGTACACTATCCAACTCTGGTTTGCTTACGAGGTAGTTTGTGGTTGGGTACCAAACAGACGTGTCGAATTACCTAACTCTAATTTCAAGTAATTGGTGAACAGAATTACCCTTGGGGTTGAGGGAATTATAAACAATGAAGCTCCTAGAACTTTTCCTAGAGCTCTGGATAGAGCCAAGTGGAAATTGCTGCTGGTAGGTATGTTACAGCTGCTTGTGACAGACTGAGAAGGTGGATATTTGCAAATAGTGTAGTTCACTTGACCTTCGCTTCTTGGCAATGAAAGAAAAACTATATGAAATACATTCTTGGGGTTTTGGTAAGCACCATCCTTCTTTCCTATGATTTCAGTGATAATACTTGGTAATGTAGTGATAGTGATAAGTCTTGGTAATCATTTAAGACAATTTATTTTGAATAAGCTTTGATTTGAACAGAATTAGTCTAATAAAGAAGACAATCCAGACCTGACCTCAAATGCTGATTTTTACCTATCATTACGTCTGGAAAAGAAGCTTCAGGCTTATATTGATTAGGCATAAAAAGAAGAAATAATATGTCTGATATTCCCTGCCTATATATTGTTGATCCTTTTTGTATGAAGGGGGTGATGCAGAGGAATTAATGGAATTTTCACTTCTCAGAAGACTTTCTGAGAACACGCAGACCTGATGAAGATCTATTTCTATTGTCAAATCCAAAAGGTCTAATTCTCATGTCACTTATATTGTGTATTTACTTGACTTGAATGGGTTCAATTTTGTTTTATGTAGAAAATGTCAACACACTCTTTTCATGGTATTTTGTTCTGGACTCTCCAAGAAGTAAGGATAATTCAAATCAGTTTGAGATAAATACCTGAGTTCAAGTGGCCTTTTTCAAGCTTGATTGGTATTAAGTAGGAACACAGCAGGTCTGTTGAATCCTTTCTTAATATAAACTAGTCAGATTACTTTGGATGTCTCCATCCCTATTCTTCATGCATTGCTCTGCTTCCTCTGCTGCTCTGACCACTGCTGAGGTTGATGGGATTTTGTTGCATTTAAAACAAACTGAGCATGCACTGGGCCACCTGGCTTATGAAATACCTTAAGGAACTTGATGAAACAGTCTCTTGACCACAGAACTAACAACCAGTTGCTAAGAGTTTCAGTTAGATGTACATGCATGAGCAGTGACAAATGGCATGAAGTATGATGACCTGGTAATGATGAGGTATGATGAGGTATGATGGTATGAGGTAAAACACCATAGGTCTGACCACATAGGTCCTGTGGTTTGGTATTACAGTTCTAAGGGTGCCAGAAGAAAAAGTGTAGTAGCCTGCTGTATTGGGAGTTAACAAAGGCCTCCATATCTTAGTATGTTTTTGGCAAAGGCAATAGTTGGCCAAAAGTTGGCCAACTTGGTCTTGTGGAACAGCTAACTATTCTAGTGCTCAAAGAAAAAAAAAAAAATCTTTTAGGAAGAGCACAGTGTTTAATAGACTCTACTCACTGTGTGTTTTAGATGGTGAATTGCTATTGTTTGTAAGATGAAACAAACTACTGGGGGAAAAAGAGGGTTTTATTTTTATGTTCTATATCTCTTTTCAAAGTTATTGTTAACGGATGGAGGCAACCAAGAACCATACTGTGAGGTATTGTGTGGCTGTGCTGTAAAATAAAAATTGAATTTGAATTCTTATAATACAAGAGATGAAAGGCATTACTGTGTTGATTTCTACATCGACTCCCCTAATAATGAACAGTGGCAGTCCAGGCTCACTCACCAAACAAAGAATTGGGTTTGCATGATGAAGTGCTTCTTTCAAGAGAAAGAAAAATCAGATATCAGATTTTTTACTTTCCGGTGCCACAGGACATTTGGTGTCTTACTAGTTCAACAGGTTTTATTCTCAGCTGCTTGTCAGGGCCTGAACATTGCCTCCATTTTGTTTGGCAACTATTTATAATTTAACCTGGGACTGGTCTGTTTTATTTGCAAATGGTATCTCTTCTTCAGGTTAGAGCACTATCCATAATTATGACTCTGTGAATGAGGTGCTGATTCATTATTTTTCATGGAATTACATATGTCATGCATAGAACTGTTTGTCCATAAGGACAGCCATGTCTGTGTTGTTTTTTTTTATAGGGGGTGGTATCTAAGGAAAACACAAAATACCCCACGGTCCATTTCTATGTGTTTCAGAATACGTATGAGATTTAAGGAGTCAAATCTCAGGCTTGTGCATGTTGTTGTATTCCAGTTGAGATCAACGGCAGATAGAGGTTTGGCCCCAGGTGTTTAAAGCCTTTCCTTCCTTTTTTACTACACTTGCCTTATCGGCACTAAACTGTTTCAAGTTTGTCAGCTTTTAACTGTGGGAAACTGAGTGAGCAACAAACCGAAGATCTGCCTGCTTATGGGAAGCTGCTGGTTTCAATGTCTGTCCATACCATTTGCACCCCAGCCCTGATTCTTGCTTGCAGCACCCATCAGCAACATGTGTGCAGGCAAAGTTGCCTGCTTCATACCCTAAAAACACTTGTTAAATGCATGTCAGAGTTTGAAATAAAGCCACTATATTTTGGTGTTTCTTTCTCAGCTGCTAACACCTCTCTTTGGAGCCTTTATTTATTCATTATCAAGCTGTCTGTGAACAACTGGAGGAGAAAAATTCTCTGAGATTTTCAAACTTTTTAAAAGTTATGAAGCAGGAGGTTCTGTAAGTTTAAGTCTTTCCTCTTTTCTGATTTATTTCTCAGTTAATATTAAATGTTAAAAGTTTGCCCCTTTAAAATCATAGCTCCAATGACATGTTTTCTACAAGCACTTATTCATTGACACTTGCAGTACATCCTAGACTAACTGGAAGATATTTAATTTTCTGTTATGTGTTCCACATTCTTGATAATACTGATGTAATGTCACTAGTGTGTTTTGATCCTTCTTTTCTTGCTCCCAATACTGAAAAAATCAAGGACCCTAAAAATGAATCAGGTCCCTGAAATAGGTTTATTCTGAGCAAATTTTCAAGTGTGATTTCTGCTAGAAACATTTTATTTTATGCCAAGAGCTGAAGTTTTTGTGAAATCACAAGACTCCAGGAGCTATGAATTTAAAACAGTAAAAAATTGAAATCTTGGCAATTATTAACAGGTCTCGCAGGTCAATAGAAGAAAAAACAAAAAACAAAAAACAAAAAAACACTACCCACTAGTGTCTCTCTTATTATTACTTCTAATTTTTAATGAACTTCATAAAGTAAGCATTAGCTTAATCTAGACACCTGGTTAGCATCAGTACACTAATTTAAACGAGTTTTAGCAGTGGCTATTTCCTCGTATTTGGTCATTCTGATTTGATATTTGATTTGTGTATTTTTTTATGAATCATTTCTCCTGAGGATTATGGTGTTATTCTTTCAGCAAGAAGACATTTTTTCTCCTCCCTTACATTTAGTTAGTCAAAAAATCTAGAGTGTTAAATAAAACTCCTGGTGGCCACAGGCATTATATTCATGATGTCACCTTGGACCAGGGTGTTTCAGATAGATAATAACCTATGAAGAGGCCCACATTAATGTTTTCAGTTTGCTACCACTGGCAGAGGTGATCACGTAAGCTGTACTGTAGGTATGAACAAGTCCACTGTCTGAATTCCTACAAGCTAATGCAGAACATGATGAGTAACGAAGAGCATACATTTTGATTCTAGCTGAGAACAAAACTATAGTATTATTTCTTTGCAGAGTCATTTCACGATGTCTTTTTCTGCTCGTTCAGTCAGAAGGTATTTTGACCCTGTTGGGCCAAGTTTTGTCATGCTTATTTGAGAAAATAGGTAGTTTTTTTTTTGTTGGTTTTTTTTTTTGTTTTTTTTTTTTTTTTATATATATATATATAGTTTTGTTGTTGTTGTTGTTGTTCCTTTCCTTTGTTAAAGGCCTTTTCTAATTAACAGCGAACACAACCCCTCCTCTGCCTTAGCAATGTTTAATGTTCCAGTTTAGGAAGCAAATTAAAGCAGAGGTCTAAAGATATAAAAATCAAATTGAACAACAACAAATTAAAAAGACTCTCATAACACACAATAAAGCCAGGGCATGAAGAAACATAGCAACACAGAAATATTAAGACTCACGTGGTGCCAAATTACCAGCAACTCTCTTCTGCCTGTTCAACCAGAGACCCAATATCCTGGTTCTACATGGAAGAGACCAGAATAAACAATGCAACACAACCATCTGAAATACAGTGGTTGAAAACAAATATGACTAGGTAAATAGAGGGTGTAGTAAGCAAGCTGAAGAGTCAAATAAACTAAGAAGCTAAAAAAATATGAATTAAAAAAAAATTCTATATCACTAAGGAGAGAAATAGTCTCTGCAACACAGCAATTCACTGCACATGGAAGCCTCACCTTCAGTGATCTTTATAGTCTATACGGTGTATATTATTTACATCTGATCATTCAGTTTAGTAAAACAAAAAAGCACCATCTGCCCAACCGCACTTTCCTTCCAGGAAATTGAAATGAGAACGGATGTTGTCTTTCGTGCTTATTTTCATTCTTTTTCATGTTTAACTCTTAGTACAGTTGATATATGCTCAAAAAGAAATGTAAACCAATCTACTCCTTCTTTCCCAGTGCAGAAAAAAATAAAATAAAATCCAAAATGAAAAAGATTTCCATGCCCAATTGTCAATATTAGAATTTGGGAACGCTCATTGCCTATGTTCCATTTTTCCTATAAGACATATAGTCAACTGGATAGAAAATAACAACACAACAAATTGGGGAGTTATCATTCCTAAGAACAAGTTTCATGTCCACCTTTGAGATTTCTGAGGTGTTAGAAGTAACTGAAAGCCGAATTTTACCTTCCTTCCCCCAAACAAGTCAGGCTGTGTGCTTATGTACTTAAGCACATACGTCAAAAAAGTGTAGAAAAAAGACTTTCACCTATATTCTGATGCATGGGCATCAGTTTGGTTGCAGAGACTTAGCTGTTGTGGTAACTAGAATTTTTACTGCAGTTCTCAGAAAATTCTGCAACATCTGCCTGTCCATTTTTTTTTAATGCTTGTACTCCTTGTGTAGTTAAAGTTAAGGAGCTATGTGCCTACCAGGCATAAATAGTCAGGCTGCAGTCATATTCTCTAGGGAATGCTGTTCTTCCCAAACTCATTTTATAGAAACTGCCCCTATATATGCAGTTTAATCCTCATATTTGTCTGATCACCTGTGAGTATCTATGAAGTGAGAAGGAAGGCTGATGAATTGCCTCTATGCTCCTCACCACCCAGAGACTGCTTTTGGCACACAGTTTAAATGAGAATAGCCACAGATTTGCTTAAACCTACACAATAACTACTGCAGCTTACTCACTACGAGCTGCTCCACTTACTCACTAGCTGGCATTCTTTGTCTTTAATTGCACTTCTCCACATGTTGGACATGAACTAGATGTTGATGTTCCTTCATGCCAATGTATTAAGTACACCTCCTAGTGGTTGTGGAACAGGAAGCTAGAAATGGATCAAAAACCAACACAGAGCCTACACTGAGTGAATGACAGCTGGACTTCTTTTTACTTTCACCCTTCTGGATTGTCTATTTTTTCCTTTGCAGAAATATTAGTATGTGATAGATGGTTAAAGTCCAAATTACCATCATAGTGTTTTTAGGGATTTATTTCAACCACCAAAATTGCCAGCTACTAATTTGAGTTTTCATGAGAATTCTAATTGCAATCCCAAAAGGTTTTGCACCAAAAACCAAAATTTCTTCTGGTAGCAGGAGAAGAGAACTTTTTTGAGAAGACAGTCCATTGGTAGTAGGGTCTGTGAAAGGTTGTTTTTGTTTTTGTTTCTTTAATTATATATATATATAATTAAATATATATATAATTATATATATATATATATTATTTTATATATTTATATATATATATCTTATATATGTTTATATATATTATATAATATATAATATATTATATATATATATATATACATATATATATATTTTTTTTTTTTTTATTTTATTTTTTTTTTCCCTAAATGGTGCATGTAACCCATTCATCAGAGTTTCTGTTCTTGCAATAACCATGCCTAATATGGCCTTAATATCTCTGGCCCAAATCTTAAAAAGTATTTGAAACAAATTTGGTTTGTAAGTACTTTTGAGATTCAGGCTTCTAGAGCTTCATTTCCCATGTCTGTAATGCAGATAATAGATGCTCTTCCTTACTCAGATGGCCTAAGGATATTCATTAATCACATTAAGATTACAGGTGCTCAGCTGCTATAAATAGTGGAGTTGCATGAGCTCCATCATGGTGGTTACCTAGGAGATATATGGATCAACATATCTCTGCTTTGCCCCTCTGTTCCTTGGGGATGGTATGACCATTCTTTTCACTGCTCCTCCAGGTTTTGAAGTTGTTCTGGGTAGGTCCAAAACCCTGAGTAGAATATGGCTACAAGAGATGTAAAAGTTGTGTCTTTCAATTGCTAGCTTTCCATCTCCTCTCTTCCCCATCAATGTATTAAGTCTCTCCTTTCCGCTTTATCAATTAATAGTCATTAAAATGCCGTTTTGGAAACTTTAACATTTTTATTTTTTATTTACACCAATGCAACACAAAAAGCCTCCAAAGCTACCTACTTCTACACTGCTCTTTAGCTCAATGATAAACAACTCTACTTGTCTAAATCAACATTATGTAAAACAACAGCAAAGGCTTAGTGCTTTGCATGTGGAGATCCTTCTTGATGGAGAAAGAGTACACCAAAGGAGACCAAAAAAGAATGGGACTGCATGTCTAATTGGGATGTACCACCATACGGAGAACTGCTCAGCTGTATGGTATAGACCCAGAGCTGCTAACAGATATCCTTCTTTAGCTACAAGACTGTGCTTTTGGAGTAAAGAAGATCACAACTCCATCTGTACTGTTGCTGTGATGTACTGAGTGGGAGTTGTGTACAGGACAGTGAGAACCGTGAAGCTCAAAAGTAGCCATGGTTTTATTATAGAGAACTCGAGCTGTTTCTTTGTCGTTGTTTGTTTTATTTTATTTTGTATTTGTATTTTTCTTTTTGTTTTCTTTCTGCTTTCTTTGGTTTGTGTTTGGTTTGGTTTTTGCTTTTTGAATGCCTACTTTGAGTGAAGATTTTTAAGTTTTTGATATGTTCTGTTAACTATCTGAGAACTTATTTTCCATTTTCATTGTCTTTTTTACTTTTAGATGCTAAGCAGAATCCCAAGAACAAAATACCATGAAATGTGGCACTTCATGTGTGTGTGTATGATATTTCTGCCTAGAAAGGGAAAAATCTGATGAGAAAGGATAATTATATGAGATTTATATGCCAGTATCCCAAATTCTTTTGGTACCTTTGCTTTAATTATAATTCTAATTCTGAACTTTTTCCTTTTAGAAGCTGAGTAATGTTGATTTTAGGACTATAAAACCAAGGCTAGATCCTAAAGAAATTCAAAGAAGCAGTCTTTAGCTGAACTTTCTGTGTGTTTCCAATCAAAACAGTCAAAGATTCAAAGCCATTCTGAATTTTGAAATGGATATAGATCTGTTTTGTATGATTCATATTTCCTTTATAGAATAATGCAAGGAAGCACAACTGAGCCAGGCCATACCAGCAGCCTGTCTAGCCAAATTCTGCCTCCCCAGACACAGAAATAGCTGTCCCCAGCCACAGAAATAGGGGATGTTGTTTAGGGAAATCACATGAACCTGGCTGCTTTCTGTAATCCAGTCCCATCCACAATGATTGGATTAGGGCTATTAGAGGGTACACCTTCACTTAATCCTTTTAACATCCCTTTTATGGACCTGTTGTCCATGACAAAACAGCCAGATGTAAAGCCCATTACAAAATATAGTCCTCTAGGGGAAACACTGACAAGTGCCTTTAGTCTGTTAGCACTGTTGGGTGCTACTTTAATAAAGGATCTCCATTCTCACTATGAAGCAAGAGCAATGCGTGACTGCGATATCGCTGTCATGTGAATGAGTTGTCCCAGTACTGCAGAGTCTGCTCTTTACTGTACGCAGAGACACATCAATACTGAATATAGTGTGTTAGCAAAACAGAATGGAAATCTTTTAGGTGAAGAATGGCTTCGCTGATTGCTTTGCTCTACCAGAATGGGGTGTGTTTTCAGGCATTCTGATAAATGTGTGCTATTTTTCAGCCATTCACTGTGAAGTGCTGTAGGTTTCATATAAACTTTTATTGCTCACCACAGGCACGGAAGGATTGATTACATTGTTTGGGGATTTCCTAACTTCTGAGACTGCCTCTTTAGCCAGACTTAACACAGTGTATGGGGCGGGGGGGAGGGGGAGCAAAATGTTATAGTGCTACTCAGTAGTCTGCTTTCTACCTTTGCATTTTTGAGATCACCCATTTGGTTTCAAACAGTAGACAACAGTCAGCCTCATTCATGTAAGTTTTGTATTGTTAGTGGTTAGTATGATGGTGTTTTGATACAACTATGGGGAATAATGGCAAATGCACAGACAGAAATTAAGGATTATTTCATGTCACTACTTATACTTTTGTCTAGTTGAGAACATCACTGAAAAGTAAGTAACAGCTTAACCTTGGGAACTGGGCTGTTATTGATGTCTGGAGTGTGCAAGCAAATTTTGGTGCATCTATGCTGAAATCTCTAATATCAGAGAAAATCAATGGCAGATGATAATTTTTTGAGGCAAACAGCAAAATACACTTTGGTGGGGACCCTTCTGAGTAGGGCAAATTCATGCTGAGTGCTGGCAGCTAACTCTTAGTGAATTTTTAAGATACCTTAGGGTTTCTGAAGCAGTTGCCAGAGTTACTGCCTCTTTCCAATTTTGACATAGTGAACTAGTCAGATCTCAGGTTTACCAAAACTCAGTTTTAATAGTTCTTAGGTCACACATATTATTTTGTACTTCAGCTATGGGACCAAATATCAGAAAATTAGATTTTATTATGATCTGAATTTCTTGTAAGACTGCTTATAACCCTTGCAAACTCACCGACTTATATTTCAACTACTTTACAGCTTGAATCTATTCAAATTCCTCTCTAGCTTCATGCAGGATTCTTGTCACCAGCATTTACTAGTTACTTGGTAGAAATAAATAAATAAATAAATCTATTCTCGATTGCTGGGCAAAAGTCAGGAATATTTCCCTTAAAATGAATTCTGTTTTCATTGTTAAAAATCTAACAAGAAGAGACTGGCGCCCTAAACATTATGAACAGTACAGGCTTTCAGTAAATAAATAATTCAATTCAATTAAAACAAATGTCTGCCCTGATGTACCATAGTTTCTAATTTATTTAAAATGCATTCTTGGGATGTGTTTATGGGAAGTGATCCTCAATGAAAGCTTCAAGGAAGGTTCTGTAGGAAAGCAGAAATTGTGGTGCCATCTTACTTTCCTGTCAGGAGTGTGTGATGTAAAGCTTAAACAGAATTCCAGCT